TATTAGGAAAAATTTGTTTAGAAGTTAGTGTAATGGACTGGTAATCCACCAATTAGAGATAATCACCATTAGTATTATTCAAATTTTATTTCATTCCAATCTCCTTCTAGTTATCTATATATTTATAATAATAATAATGGGGTCATATTTTATTTAAATTTTTGTAAAAATTTTTATTCACAATATTATATTTTACTATGATATAAAATTTTATTTGAGAAACTTGATTTATAATGACATAAGAGCATTCCACATAAAGATATACCATTTACTATAACCTGCCTATTTGTAATAGTTTGTTTTCAATTACCTTTATTACTGCATATATGTTGTAATAAATGTTTTTGTGAACGTTATTTTATTAGAATCAGAATGACTCATTTAGTGGATCACAGGGGAGTAAGATTTTTTTAAGGCTTCTAATAATTATGCTTTAAATGAATTAAGGAATATAATATGTATTACTAAATAATTCTCTAATCACTTTGCTATTAAATGTTATAATAAAACAAATCAGTTGAACTATGTGAAGTAATGCCTAGATAAACATTATTTAATTTTTGAATTACAAATATTTATTTTTAGAAATATTGAAATAATATCAGAAGTTTAAAATATCCTCATCACAAAGAAATGATTAAATTTTACAATGATAAATATGCTAATTACCCTGATTTGACCATCACACATTATATACATGCACTGAAATATAACTCTGTACTCCACAAATATATATAATCAAAATATTTCAATTAAAAAAATTAGATAACAAAAAAAGGAATCATAGAGCTGAAAATCATTTTTCTGTAAACAATCAAAACATAAAAATTACGTCACAAACAAGGCCTTTTTTCTTATATGATGAAAAAATTCCTCTCAATATAAGTTATCACTGAATTTTGGAAATTGGTATAAATTAATTCTTTTAAAAAATATTAATGTGCTGCCTACATATTTAACTATTCACAAAATCAGGAGAAGAGATATTCCAATTGTTTAGGATACATAGTGCTACGGTCCCAAACAAACGCATTTGCCCAGGTTGAACTGGGAACTTGCCAATATTTTCCAGCATACTCCCTGGTCACATAGTCAACCTAAAGATCATCTACTGCTCTCCTGGACTCACCCCAAGTAGAACTCAAAGCTTTACAGAGGAAATTTCACTAAGAAACAAAAGTAAATAAAACAAGGCCACAAAAGATGCTCTTTGGAGACAGAAATACAAAGAAAGATGGTATTTGCTGAGTACAGCTTTCTGAAGCAGTGTGGATGCTGAACAGTCATTCAAAATTTGAAGCAATGTCTACATAAACAACAAGGAAGTTCAAATACGTGAGCTTAACCAAACAGTTGATTTAGGAGCAAGGCATATTCTGAACGACTTTTCTGAAAGGCTTTGTTTATACACAGACAGAAATTGGTTATTTTTTTCAGTAGTTGTGAGAGGTCATTAATAGAAAACACTTTCTTTCCACTATGTAAATGCTGAATCTCATTTGATGACCTAACTGTTATGGGCATACCACCATAACTGAGTATTGTTCTAAATGTTTGTTGGTATTTAGTGGCATAAAATTAAGGCGTTTTGTAATGAGAAACCTTATTTCAAGTAGTAGATAGGTTTTTGTTTGTTTGGCTATATATCAGATAGTAATACACATTAATATTTTTTTTTATCATTATAATATTACAGCATTGTTCATGGAAGTACATTTAGTTTTTCAATATGCAGTAATAGAGTAAATACTCCCAGACAACTAGAACTTTTAAAAAATCTAACTCTTCACATGAGAAGACAAATCTGTAGGTCAGTGTTTTACAAACCATTATTAGGACATGATCCTTATAGTGGGTCATGGTAATTTTTTAATGGAAAAGAAAAAACAAAAGAGAATATCAAAATCATAGTGCATCTAAAATAGCAAGGTATTTTTGTAACTTTGTGTCAGTAAATATTGAACGTGACATAAAATGTTTTCTTACTGTGTTTTGATCAAAATCATTTGTAAAGCACACCTTAAGGCCCACCTTCAAATCTCTAAATTTGAAAGTTAAAATAAAAATTACCCCCAGAATAAAATATCTCAATCCATTAGACTCTTTCTGCATTATTTTTTTTTTTTACCACTTAGTCCTAGTTAAAAGCGATGCATAAATATATATTCATAAGTCAGTAGCTACTGTTCTAAATTTTAAAATATGCTGGAATTTTTTTTAAGTTGATGTTGCAATGTGGAAAATAGTTTCATGAAAAGATAACCCACTTTGTAAATTCAATTTACTCAGAGTTTGAATTTTTTCAGTTGCATCCACTGTCAATGACTAATGAGACTCTTGAAAAGTAATCACAACTTGAAGGGAAAGATATGAGGAGAGGGTGAACAATATATCAAATATTCTCTCCCTTCTAAGATTTATTTTGAACCAGTCCCCCAAAACAATGTTGTTCAAGACAGAACGAAAAGGTTTTTGAACCAATGGAGTTGCCTTCAACCTGGACCACAGAACTTATTAAATAAAAACAAAATCAAGGTACAGGTCTATTCCAACAGTATCCAAGAGTCTTTAGATTGACCTCTCAATGCACCGCTTTGTATGTGGACACCAAAATGTTTTTAGTGCATATTTTTCTCTTCTAGAATTTTGAATTTTCTAAAATTTTGCAAGCAAGCTATTTCATAAAAGAAAGAAAAATGGACTGACATTCTTCAATATTCATGCTGATAAGAGTAAACATGACACAGACATATTTCCCTTTGTTAAAGCAAAATTAATGTCTTGGGTTCACTATTTTCTGTGTTGCTACTTTGCTAAGTTACTCATGCATTTAATTGAACTTGGTAAAATACATTAAAACAGATAAAATTATCTTCTATGGACTTCATATGTATTTTTATGATGAATAAGTACAAGAACCAACTTTTTGAAACAGACATATATTTACTTACTAATCTTTCTCAAATGTGAGCAATAAAAACTAATGAGATCTTAGTTTCTACGATGTGTATAGCAGAAAAAAAAGAAATATGTGAAAAACTAAGGTATTCTTATAGGACTACATAAGAGGGAGATTATAGAAATGTTTAGATTTTATATCAGTTTTCCTTAATTTGCACAGATTCTTGGCTAAATTGACAAAAATTTCTACATTCCACATGTATCACCTTTAAGCAAATCTGCTAAGGTGAATTATTGTCACATATTCTTTCTCTTCTTTTTTTTTATTAAAATAAACACAACTTAAATTAGATGAGAGTATCTTGGAGTCCTAAATTAGACCAAATCAAATCAGTAAATGTTTATTAATCACTATGTGTCGATCTTGATTTTTTTAATATAATGTTTCCTGTTACATGGAAATCCACTACCAAGTTGGTTTGCTCAAAGGATGCCAAGAGGGAGAATTTTATGCTAATATTTTTATGTATTTAGTCATTAAGAAAGAATCATTAATCATAACAGAATCTAGTGGCGAGTTTTTCAACTGTGGTAAACATTTGCATGTGTATTTGTTTTATCTATTATTCTGGTTTCTCCAGATATTTTCTATTTGCTCTAAATCTCCCCAGGTATCTTATACTGGAAGTATTGATAAAATATGATTGCTCCTCACTGTAATTGAACATTCAGAGAAAAAGCAACACTAACAAAGCAAAGGGAGAGAAAGTGAATATCTATTTCACAATAATTTTGATTTCAATAATACAGACATGCCTCTGATATGACGGTTCTTACATCTTCCTTGAATCCTCTTCAGTGATAGTTCGTAGAGCCAGGCCATACAAAAACACAAAACCAATTTTACAAGAAAAATATATGTTCTTTAGCAGGAGACAGTCTGTTACTAAACACTAGCTCAAAGAGCTGGAGTATGGAACTCGACAGACATTCCCATAGCACCTCTCCTGGTCTGGGTACCATCTATATGCTAGAGACAGAAGAATGGTCACGGCCTCTGCTCAGGGAGCTTGTGGCCTAGGGGGAAAATGAGATGGACACAGGTTATATGACATGTGAGAAACTGTGGTGTCAGGAGTGAACTCTGCTTCTCTAGAAATTAGAGCCCACGGCCTCGCACTTGATCTCTGTCCTGACTTCTCCTCTCAGTATTTAGGTATCTGTACTAAGTGCTCAGTAAATGTTAGTTTTCTCTGTGTCTCCTGTTCCTATGTAGTTCTTCACAAAATAACACAACTATTGCATAAATATTTACAGACATTTGGTGAAAAATTTTCTATTTGTCAGTCTTATATGGTGCCTTATTTTTTTTTGTTTTTAACATCTTACTTTGCAATATCAACTTTCTTTGTACAATATTAATCAAACAATATTCCAAGGTTGTTAAGTCTGTTCAAACAACAACAATACCTAAGGCTCAGCTTATCGTATTACTGAAATGCCAAGTTTAAAAATTACAGTTTTCAGCCAATCCAGGCTTCCCTCAGTTGACACACATCTCGTCATCCTGCTTTGTATTCACCCTTGTTTATTTTTCCAACAATCTGCATAATTTTAGCAAGATCATTTTGAAGTTTTGATTCAGGCAGTTGAATATTCCTTTAAACTTACAGTTAAATTAAATATAATCTTGTTACTACTAATAAAAGATATCAGAATGTCTATGAAGTCTGAAGATACCAGATGCTTTTATATTATTAAAATAAGTATTTTTTTTTGTTTTTAAACATAAAATATTCACTTAGAAGAATAGCCATCTCTCTATTAAATATGAACTAGCATTTGTAAGGAGTAGAAGGTTTCGATGCTCTAAGAAATTTCAACCAACATTCTTCCTCTCCCATGCCACAGTGTCTTAGCAATTTTCCAAATTTCCTTTATTCAATCACTACACAGTACAACCAAGTAAGTACCTCACAAATCTGAATTCAAAGATAATCATGAGCATGTGACACCAACAAAACAAAACAGGACACAACTTTAGCTTTGGAGATCACAACAAGCCATTCCAGGGCAAATATCAGATAGATTCCACTGACCTGAGGAAATGTCTATTTGGCTCATCTTGGTCTGTGTGACATTGATGTGAACACCCACTTTGCTTTCAGTAAGGTCAATCTCCACGTTGCCCAAATTATCCGCAAAGTGACTGAAGAGCAAGAGACCACTGGGGTTCCAAGTCCTGAACTGGAAACTGACTGAAAACAGGTCCTGGTTAAGCCGTCCGGGCACTTCCAGGTAACTTGTAGCATTGAAAAAGACAGGCACCGTATATGGCTCCACACAAGAGAAACTCAAATTTCCCTATAAAACAGAAGGGAAATATGGAATAAAATAAGCATCCATGCTAGACAGTAGACAAAACTACAGTTCCACAAATTTCAAAACAAAGCCTGAGCCAAATGCCAGCAGTGCGGCAGGGATTCAGGGACTGGATGTGTCACCATAGATCCATTTGGAGTGTGAGCCCCAATATATGCAGCAGTTGAGGGGCATAACAAGCACCTCTCATCATGGGAGTTGCAGCCTGCCAGCCTGATGGCATGGGCTAACCATGAGTTGCAATGTGCACACCCGTGTAGTGAGCTTGGGTGTGGACCACTGCGCCTTCTGAACACAGCAAGGCTGCTGCTGGGAGATCATGGGTCAGGGAGAGAAAGAGATGTCCCTGCCCTCTTCTGGATGGCCATTGCCAAATGTTTATTAATTACTACCTCTGGACTCAGTGGGAACGAAGGTTATTTGTTTACTATTTATTAAACTGATATTTGGGGGCAAATACCTTTGGGTTTTATCTGCATACTTAATACTTATGAATTAATGTTATCTATTTTGCATCAGAATAATTGTGATTCTTTTAGATTAGTTTGTTATTCAACTCATAGCCCCATTTAAATTCCTATGAAGTATGCTTATATCACAACGCATTAATGCTTGTGGAACGAGTAGTACAAAGGTACATAAATGTACAAAATGAAAATAAAACTTGCAATAAATCACTCTCCCCCCTCCCTCATACTCTTCCTCTTTGGTATAAACAAAAAAAAAATCGATTTACTATTTAGATACACTGAATTTTATATTCCAGTGCCTAAATTTCTTCCACTTAAAGATCTGAAAATCTACATTTGCTTCCAATTTCTTTTTATCCTATCATAACATTTTAAGGAATGTAATTTGATGACATTTTCATAGGGTCTATGTGTATATATGTGTATATATGTGTATATATATATATATATATATGTATGTATGTTTAACAACACCATATATATATCCAAGATGCCTAGTTTTTCCATTTCATCACATTAACCATTAAAACCAAGACAGGCGCTCTTTTTCAATTGATATTTAAATTAAATTTGTTCTGTATCTTCACAGACGATTATTTTTAAATACTTGATTCTACTGATGAAAAGAACTGCCTATGCATAATAACTGAGATGTTATAACTGACCACATACCTGTGCTGGGGGAATTGTCTCCCAGCAAAATTAAAGATCCTTCCTGCCTGAGTAATGGTGCTGACTCTAAAGTCAGTGCATAGTAGAAGAAAGGATATGTGTGGGGAGAGGGGGTTTGGGTGAGTGAGCTCTGAGTCAATTTCACTGGAATGTCAGCATGACACATTTGAAAACAAATTTCTTATATAAATATTTGCCTTTGTAGAGCTACTTGCAAGTGTCCTACTTGTTTCTATCCTGCCTAAAATTTTCAGTATGTATGTATATATTTTTTTAAATTTTGTCAATACACAATGTAGTTGATTATTATGTCCCATCACCGAAACCTCCCTCCCTCCTCCCTCTCCCCATTCCCTCCCAAGCATGTCCTTTCCATTTGCTTGTTGTAGGAACTTCAAAAAGAAAAAATTGTAGTTGTTATATCTTACTCTCCCCCCCGTTTTTTTTTCTTTCTTTCTTTTTTTTTTTTTGTGTGTGTGTATGCATGTGAGTGAATTAATTTATTTATTTTTAGCTTCCACAAATAAGTGAGAACATGTGGTATT